AAGAAAAGGTTTCATTGTAATAAGTAATATTATTTTTAGTAATTAAGAATATACTGAAACATACTTTTACGATATTAAATAATTATTAATTAAATCATATATAAAAAAAAAAGATAATAAATTTATATAAAACCAATGAAGTAAATTTAATAGATATTTTATAAAATTTAATTTCTAAAATTTTAAATTTACCTTATATATTTTATTAATCATTTTATAATACTATCATGGCAATGGAAAGATATATTATACGTCTTGATAAATCTAATAAAAAAAAACTCAAAAATCTCAAGCATCTCAAGAAATTCAAGAAATTCAAGCATCTCAAGAAATTCAAGAAATTCAAAAATTTACAGAATCTCAAGAATTTCAAGAATCTCAAGAATTTTAAGAATTTCAAGAATCTCAAGAATTTCAATAATTTCAGAAAACTCAAGAATCTCTAGAATTCGATATATTGACTAGTTCCTCAGTTATTAAGCAACCAAACTCAGCTAAAAAGCCTAAATTAGAGCAGCTAACTAAATCAAACTTGCACTTTAATCCAGTATGGCAAACTCGATATCTATGGCTTAAAGATCAAAAAGTAGATGAAAAAGTTTGAATGTTTTGTTCTTGGTATCAATTAATAAAAGCTAAAAATATTTTTGCACAAGAAGGATGTGAATGGCTTAAAGAGGAGTCTTTAATATGACATATTAAAATTCATAAACATATTAAAGCTACTAAAGGTAAAAGTGAGGGCAGCAAAACTTATTTAGTAGTTTTATAATTCAGTATGGTGAAACAAAAGCAAAAACTTTAGCAAGTACGCGTAATATCTATTTTTTATCAAAACACCACTTAGCTCTTAATATTTTTCCAGATCTTTGTAATTTAGTAAATTTTACAGTTTAAATTATAATGAAATAACCTATCAAAACCCACCTTGTACTCTTGATCCACCTCATATTTATTTAGAAAAAAATAATAATTTTGATTCTACTAATAAAGAAAATTATGCTACTTATCAAAATCCTGTTGCTAGATGTGATATGTTAGAATCATTAGCATATATAATTGAGAAAGATACTATTGCAGAAATTAACAACTCACTATTTTGGAGTATTCTTCTTGATGAATCTAATACCATTACTAATGTAAAAACTCTTGCAATTGTTTCAAAACATATTGCTAATAATATTTTATTAATATGATATATTAGAATAATTTCATGAGGTGTGGTGATCTAGTGTAGCGGTTAGGTTGTCACTCTCACCAAGTGGCAGGTCAAGAGTTCGAAACCCACCGTCGACGGAAAATTCGAATAATTACCTGTGTTATGGCAACCGTCCTTCATCGATCAATTGGGATAGGATACCTGTAACTATGGTCACACCAGCAAGACTGGCAGGTCTGGGGCATCTGTGCAACCTTGGGGTTACACAGAGAGATACAAACTGGCATCAGGCAGTGCAAACACTAGATAAGTCCCTAGACCGTGTAAATCCGTAGAACTGGGAGGACTGAAGCCCATTTGGGAAGACCCGAGTAGAGAGGTAGCACAGATCTTTGACGGTACTACTGTAAAGGCTAGACCCAGAAAATAGAAACTGAAGTGGAAGAACCGGACAGGGCACGATCGGTCTGTGGTAAAGCTGATCCACCAACCAGGCCGCCGAGTAAACGGAGGAAAAGGTCATGGCAGAGCCGATGAACCAGAGACAGGTCACAGTCCTTTCGGGCCATCTGGATTGGTGTCTGGAACCAAAAGCGGAGAGGAACCGAAGTACCGGGGATATGCTGTGAAGTGGGTACTGGGGTTTGGGTGAACTTTACAAGGGCATAGCCCTATTGATAGGACCACAGAGTGGGTAGGTTGTTGACAGGGGGGCACCCCGAGCCCTGCTACTGGGTGACGCAGTCTTTAATTAGATGACGGCCTGGGTACATAGCACAGAAAGGGAAACCATATGGGGGTGAGTCAATAGAAAAGGGACAAATCATTTTTAGTAATTTTTTTTTAATTTTTAAATTAAAATAT